GAGAGAGAGAGAGAGAGAGAGAGAGAGAGAGAGAGAGAGAGAGAGAGAGAGAGAGAGAGAGAGAGAGAGAGAGAGAGAGAGAGAGAGAGAAACCAGCTGGAAGAGCGATAAGTGGGTTGAGTGTAACCAGGGAAGAGCGATAAGTGGGTTGAGCGTTGTCGAGGAGAGATAGTGGGGCAGGATCAGGGGTGTAAAACAGGAGCTGATATGTCAGTTGAAACTTTGCAGAGGATGTGGTTAGGCAGACAGTTGCTGAAAAGAGGAAGTAAGTGGTGAAGGGTGGTATGACGGTTGAGGGAAAGAGGAAGTAAGTGGTGAAGGGTGGTATGACGGTTGAGGGAAAGAGGAAGTAAGTGGTGAAGGGGTGGGGTGACAGTTTGATGGAAATGGGAAGTGAGGAGGGTGAGGGAGGGAAGGGGGAGAGGAGGAGGGAGCGGACCGGATGTCCTGCCTCAGCTGTCAATAAGAACCGGAAGTCCCACCCAAAAGGGGCGGGGCACCTGTCACTTTTCGTGTGACGTCATTTGATGATTGCTGACTTATTTATTCTCTGCTGTGCTTGCCTACAATAATGGCAGGTCAATGATGTGAAACACAACTAAAGAACAACTAAAGGTAATTAATTTAGAGTTACAAACTGGTAAGTCTTCCAACTCCGAGTGAAATATTAAGCCGGTGGTTTAAAAAAAACCCACAGAGAGTCCAATCAGCAGGTCTGTGCCAGGGGACAGGGCTCACCAATTCATCACCAGGCTGCAAAACCACTGAATGCAAATATGCTGCGTTAAACTAAGAGTTACACAGAAATGAGCTGTTGTCCAAATTTGATATCTTGGTAAGTTTATGAGGCCAAATGAAGTGACTCGTGTGTCACAGCACAACAGAAAATAAGAAAATATCTGAGATTCCTTCAAGGTTTTATTTGGTTTCATATAAGCTGTGCGGTATAAGCGGTAGACTGTAGAAATGGTATGAAGTTGGCCTACAGTAGAAATTTACCCTCTACCGTCCTATTGTCAGTTACGTAATCGCACCTGTGTCTGCAGGGCTGTGAGTGCAGAGACAACTGAGCAGGAGGAGTTCAAAATATAATGAAGAAATTATAGCTTTTAAAACATGTATAGAGAGAATATATCCTCAAAATTTCCCCCTCCCGCTGTAGAAAAGTTACGTCGTGCTGTSGTGTCGCGGGATCATTTCCTCCTCCCTCCCACAGTACATCGCACAGAGCGAAGCTTTAACAACCATAGTTTTTTCACACTCGAGTTGTCGGAGAAAAAACTTGTTTTTTTTGTATTGTTACCCAGAGAGATGATAAAAAAGACGGGGACGTTCATTCAGCCAGAAATCCATCTTGCTAATGTAAAGTCGGCTTCTGCTCTGATGATGAAGATGATAGCGCAGCAGAGTAGCGGGTCAGTTCAACGGGCAGAAGCTCATAGTATGGCAAGCAGATGTTATATTTATTTGGCTTCACCACACTTACATTCTAGGTATCTGAAATTGTTTTATGACTAGGACTATGTGCAGTTTAAGCCCCTTCAGGTCCTGTCACACAATAATGTTTTAGACAACTTATGCTAACTTAGAATGTTTTTTCTCTAAATGACTAATTTTACTTGAAGTACTGGTGATAACATCCACTTTATTATGATATTGTTGAAAATTTGAGAAATGTTTTTGTTTGTTGAAACCGTTTTGCAATATAGATATAACATTCTTTTGTACTTCTGTTAAGTTCATTTGCACTACAGCAAAAATGCTGGCTTTGATTATGATTACAGTTTTCTGCAAAATAAACGCTCTTAAAATTACATTATCTTTGCCTTTTATGATAATTTTCTACCGCAATATATACCGTTACCATGAAAGGATTCAATTTATACCGTGATATGAATTTGAGGTCATACCGCCCAGACCTAGTTTTATACAATCTGTTCAAACCAGATCAACAAAAGAACAGTAACATTTTTAATACGGATTCTCTGAACATTAAAAAAACATAAAACAGCTCTCAGAGCAACAAGTTTAAAAACATTAGTACAACAGTGCATGTTTATCAGTGTGTTGAATCATCATTGTTCCTATAGAATTTCACCTGTATGTTTATGTAAATTTATTCCTAAAAGATTACTTTTTTCTGTCTTATCATTTCTGCAACAACTGATGTGTCAAAATAAAACTGTCTCACATAAAAAAGTACACTTGAATCAGAACAAAAAGAACTTAAGTACATTGGACTGCATGCAAGAACATGTTCGTATTCTTATCCTAAGTTTTTCTTACTTTGGTCCATACAAAGGGATCGTAGGAACAAGCCACGTCAGATTCAACAAACTCTTCTATCTTCAGGAAAAGTGTGTAAATGAGCAGCGTAAACTGATGAATGCGTGTCAGGTGCTCGTGCACGGGGAGAGGTGATTAGCATAATCTTACCACCCCAAAAACACCATATAAGGTAACCTTTCCTGCCCGACATACCAGAAAGTGTCCATTCATAAATGACATAGGTAAATAAAATAAAATAAATAAAAATAAAACATCACAAAGTCAAAAAGAAGAACTTTGCAAGTTCGGAGAGTGAAGTCCTGCTCTCAGAGATCCAGAAAAAGAAAAAAAAAATCTGTCATTTTTAGCAGCGTCAGACCTGCTAAAGCCGAGGAATGAAATGACGATGGCTGTTAATGTCGTGTCTCCTGTCACAGAAATCAAAATCATATCGATCTCACTCTAGTCCTGCTCAGACTTTTCTTTCGTCAAATATTTTTAATTTAAGTGTAAACAACTGGGTTACATAGTTTTCATTTATTCAGAAGAAGAGCAGTCACACACGGTACACCCCCACTCCCACCCACCCGTCTCCCCCCTCCCGACCGTCGCAAGTGTCAGATGTAGTTCTGAAAAAATAAATAAATAAAAAACTGTCTCCAAACTTCAATTAATGCATAATTTAAGTTGGTTTAGTTTAAGATCTTCATATTAATATTGTAGTTAGGGATGAGTGAGTACAGCACTGTCTGTATCTGTTCAACCATCTAAGTTATCGGTACCTGTATCTGTACTTGTAGTGGGTGGGGCCTAAACTGGATGTAGGTGTGTTTTAACCGGAAGTTGGCTGGGCTTAAATCTGTACATTGTTTTAAGTCTGAAAATGAAATGGATTGACCAGAAGCTGCTATAAGTATTGTTAGTTTGAATGTTATTTACAGAACAGCTTCAAAAATGAGATTCAAATCAATGTTTTTAATCACAAAAGTAAAAAAAAAATTCATGTTCTGAGTTTAAAAAAAGCTTGTTTTGTAAATAGTTTAAGTGCCTGAATGAATACAACTCATGCAGTAGGAAATTATGAACTACTGAAGTATGCATGAACAAGAATTGTCACTCAATACAACTTCCTTTTTTACTTTTTTATTTTATGATCAAACTGATTTATTTTCTTTCAATTTATTTATTTTTACTACCTAATGTTCTTGTTTTTTTCCCCACATACAAAGTTAAACAATGCTGATAATATTAAAGTGTGTGTGTGTGCGTGCGTGCGTGCGAGAGGGAGAGAGGTTGTTCTGTTCAGCTGTGTGTGTGTCAGTGGCCTGTTAAATTTTATTTTTAATGATCTGTGTGAACTTGGTGATTCATGCAAACATCCAGCGATGGCAAATAGAAAAATGTCAGCCTTGTTTACTGTATTCTTCTCAAAGGCACCGCGTTCCAACTGCTTTTATATCACAGCAAGCCAAACAGAGAAAACCGACAGTGACCGACGCGACACGAGCCGTTTTCTTTTCAGCTCTGTCTTGTCAAGTGAACCCCGCTTGTTACAAAACAAGTTCACCAAGTAACTTTAAGCATCATACAAACAAACAGAGGCAAGCTGGACAGCACAGTAAGTACAGAGATCAGCTCCGATCAGCTGTCCGTGTGCGTCTGTCTGTGTGTCAGCTTCAGGCTCCCGCTGCAGAGACTGTCTGTGAGGGGAGGGGCGGGCTCTCTCTGTGTGACTGGCCAATCACAGCTCGTGGACAGTCAGTTACCCACTGAGGATCTTCCTTCAGATCGAGCACGGATATTGACAAGCTTTATTCGGTTCATGCTTGTACTCGTCAAAAATGCATTAGCCGTAACGAATACTCGTCTGAAACGAGTATCCGGCTCAACCCCAATTGTAGTGTTATACAACAGCAT